TTGGCCTAGGGGGGGGATTGTATAGGGATTTTAATAGGGATTTTATAACTTTTCTAAAAATAACAGGCTTATTTAATATATATTTTAATTGTTTTTAGATATTTATTGTATAGTTTCGTTTTTATTGCCTGTAAGCCGCCCTGAGTCCTTCGGGAGAAGGGCGGGGTATAAATTAAAGTAATAATAATAATAATAATAACATCTCAAGAACAGAGGCAATATTCTTTCCTAATCACCCTCAGTAAGAGCCCTTCCTTTCATGTGCCAACTTCAAATCCAAATAGAAATATGAAGAGTGAAAGAAACTGTGAACCAGATGAGTGTTTTTACATATATTTGCAGCTGAAATGATTCAGCCTTTTGCATGTTTATCCTGTAGGCCAGGCATGTCAAACTGCCGGCCCACGGGCCAGATGCGTCACACCAAATTGCCGGCAATGGGGGAAAAGTCCTGATACGTCATGCGACGTCACATGACGTCGCGAGTTTGACATGCCTGCCGTAGGCTCTTGCACTGTATTGTGATATTAAAATGATCAGTCTCGTCTAATATGATAAGGGAGAAGCTTGATCAAAGCTAATCAGTAAGCTTTATCTGAAAAGCAATTAAAACTTAAGGCTCTGCCCCATTGGATTGTTAATCAATCCACTTAATCTCACCACCTTCCTATAGATATTCACATTTTTGATTCCCATTTCTCACTCTCTCCTACCATCTATTAAAGGTACGTGCTGTCTATCCAGCAGGCGGATGGTTTGAGGAAGGCATGAAATTGGAAGCTATTGACCCTCTAAATCCTGGCAACATTTGTGTGGCTACCATCTGTAAGGTATTGTGAAGAAGCAAAAGTTTGTATGACTATAGCAATAAAAACATCCCTCTTGCTATCCTTGGCCCTGAGGGAATTAGGAATTACGTGCTTGCTGATAAAGCTTTTATTAACTAATCAGCCTTATTCAGACATGGGCCATCCTTTTATTAGAACTGCAAGAAGAAGAAATATTCACCTTCCTCTCTATGTTGCCATATAGGTTTTTCTGCTTTCTTCATTTCTGGGGGAAAAAATGCTTTAATGAATAAAAGATGAATTAGCTCCACTATGGCTTTTTATTGATAGCTCTCGAGCCTTCTTTCTGGATGGATTATTAAACTTTCAATTTATAACTTCTATAGAAGGAATGGAATATAAATCTGGTTATTTTAAACTTTAGGGTGCACCAGACTTTCCTCCTTGATGGGTGTAAGTAAACAAAGTGTAACTGCAGTCAGTAAACCAAACCAATCTGAGATAGGAATCTTTGGGGGGATGTAAAAAAGGGTGCTGAGATTGTTGAACTCATCCCAAGAGAAGTTTGCCTTGTTTTTGCAGTGAATTTTTAGACACATTTTTTCTTTTAATAAGCATTTAGTAGTCCAGTTTTTCTTCTTTTGTGAACTAGGGAATCAGTATAAAAGTAGGTTTTAAAGTAATTGCTTAGGCTTCATTCAGTTCTTTCGTTTCCTCCGTAGACGAATAGTAAAGAATAGATTTCTATAAAATAAATGGGATAACATAGTAAGCACCTACCATGTTTCCCCGAAAATAAGACCCAGTCTTATATTTTTTTTGCCTCCAAAAGAGGCACTGGGTCAGAAGTCTTCAAACGGCCCTTTTATGTCTTGTGGACTTCAACTCCCAGAATTCCTCAGCCAGCATGCCTGGCTGAGGAATTCTGGGAGTGAAGTCCACAAGTCATACAAGGGCCAAGTTTGAAGACCCCTGCACTAGGTTTTATTTTCGGGGGATGTCTTACCAGCTTACCTCAGGACTGCTACAGCCAAGCCTCCCATGCCCCCAACACCTGTTGTGCCACTGCCTGACTTCGTCCTGCCGTGAACAGCACCAGCGCAACGTGCCACGTGGCACCCAGCCGCAAATAGTGGCACTGGCGTGATGTGCCATGTGGCATCCTGCCGCGAGTGGCCGCACTGGCACAATGCGCCACACATCCTGCAAGTGGCCTCCTGCTGGATGGGGTTGCTGTTTCTTGTGCCGCCGCAAGGCGAGATGGGTCGGGGCATGGGAGGCCTGGCTGTAGGGGCCCTACGGTAACCCTAACCCCACTCCCACCCTAGCTTGATTTTTATGCGTGTGCCTTGCCTCACTCGTACAACCAGATGGTGGGATGGAGTAGGCGGGGTCTTAACTAGGACTAATTTTTGAGGTAGGGCTTATATAAGGCACACACGTAAAAATCAAGCTATTATATGTCTGCTTCAGATTTCTTCATTTGTCTTTGATGAGGTTGGGAATTGCTACCATAAAATATGTCTTTATCTAATGTCTTTAGGTCCTTTTAGATGGTTATCTTATGCTTGGCATTGATGGCACAACTTCCGAAAGTGATTCAGAATGGTTCTGCTATCATGGGTCCCTGCATTCCATTTTCCCTGCTGGCTTCTGTAAGAACAACAGTATAGAGCTGACTCCACCAAAAGGTGAGGTCCCCAATTTGCTTTTTCTTAGTTTGCTTTTATGGCAAAATTGGCACAGCTCCTTTTTACAAGATAGTTTGGGGGGAAAACCTTGTCACATTGGACCAGCCTGTCTTAACCTAGTGCTTTTCATGACAGAGTTAGACTCCCAAGTTACTTGAAGAGCAGAAGATTGGAAAAAGCTGTTTCATGCTTTATTTGTGGGTTTTCCCTTTTTGCATTAAAGACAGAATATGATATGCGCTCCTGTCCTTTTCTTTTGGAAGGGCAGGTTTGGTCAGAATCCTCTTGTTGTCTTCTGGATGTTCTGAAGAAGAATCTCTGTTGTTGTTTTTTTCACCACTATTTTCTTGGGAGGGGGAGATGGTTATGCAAATGTTTATGTTCAAACTAATATTTTTCTTTGCTCTTTTAAATAATTACTTTATTTTTTAAAATTTTATTAAATTTATTGACTGCCCATCTTACCACAAGGTAACTTACAATATTAAAAAGACAAAATATTACAAAACCTATACACAGTGAAAAGATAAATATTGAACCCTAACTAAAGGATGGGGAAGGAGGGAGTAGGATGAGCGGGAGGGGGGGGGGAAAGGTGGGATCTATTATTAGTCAGTCCACATCCTCTCATTGGAGCCCTAAGACAACTGGCTCTTGCAGAAAGTCAGGAGGACTGGAGCCTACCTCATTCCAGGGAGCAAGATGTTCCAAAGGGCAGATGCAGTGGCAGAGAAGCCTTTTCTCCTGGGACACCATCCACCAGAATACCCCTGCCGATAGGGCCCGCAGCATGGCTCCTCTGCTGGCACGGGTGGGGTGGGCCAATCCCATTAGGATGAGGTGTTCTTGCAGGTAGCCTCAACCCATGCTACGAAGGGCTTGAATTGCACCCAGAAGCAAACCAGCAACCAGTGCAGCTTGTGAAGCAATGGTGTTAAATGGGCCACTCTTGGGGCCCTCAAAATTGCTCATGCCACCACACTCTGCACCAGCTGTAGCTTCCGAATGCTATTCAAGGGTAGCCTCATGTAGTGCGCATTGCAGTAGTCAAAATGCGAGATGACTAGGGATTGAATGACTGAGTGCAGGGATTCCTGATACAGGTGAGGCCACAACCAGTGCACAATCTGAAGTTGTACAAAAGCTCTTCTAGCTGTGACTGCCACCTGCTCTTTGAACAGGATTCGTGAGTCCAGGAGAAGCCTCAAGTTGCGGACCGATCTGTCTGGGGCAGTGCCACCTGTTCCAGAACTAAAGATGTTAAAGTCCTGAATCTTGGGGCTCCATATAATAATGTTCACAATTATTATTGCTAATTTGTATTTTTTTTAAAAAAAAAAATTGTGCTGTGTTCCTATAGATTATATGTGGAGCGTTTTTGTCCCATCATACCTATGAAGATGAGGCATTGATCTTGAAGGTCACCACTATGTCTTCTGATAATGTCCACCTTATTCTGTTTTTGGTGGTGTTAGTTTTTCCTTCCTCTTTTTCATGTCAGAAAACTCCCAATTTCATATTTTAGGATATGATGCTAAGATCTTCAGTTGGGCAAGCTATCTAGACAAGACTAAGTCAAAATCTGCACCAGCACGTCTTTTCAATGTGGTGAGTACTATATTCACAGGCAAGATGATAAAAACATTAGTATCATCCCAAATCAGTCTCTGTTCTTATAAATCACAGATAATGTCTAATGGAAGCATTTGTGTAACATCCCATCTCCTCATCCCACTTCTCCTTGTCTTCATGCTGGCTTCCATTTTTATTCACAGTACCAGCCCTTGTGAAAAAAACTGTGAAATCAATAGTAACCAATTAAATACAAAATATAATTCACATTCTTCTTAGAATGAGCATCTATAGGATCTAGACAGATACAACTTCTTCGTGATCCAAAAGTTTCCTGTTTTAATTTGGGTTCTGGAATTAGTGCATGCCTATGTTAGCATTTTAATTATTTCTTTGATGCATTGAATATTTTGTGCCTAGACCATTTTATACTTTCCAAACCTGTTGATAAATGTTCACAATAAAATTTAATATAGAAACATTTTTACAAGGGTTTAGATTGCCAGATTTAAAGAAGGTATAACATGTATTATGCATTTGCTTTATCTTTTTAGGATTGTCCAAATCATGGCTTCAAAGTGGGTGCTAAAATAGAAGCAGTAGACCTGATGGAACCAAGACTTATCTGTGTGGCAACAGTAAAAAGGATAGTCCATCGGGTCCTCAGAATTCACTTTGATGGCTGGGACAGTGAATATGACCAGTGGGTAGATTGTGAATCACCAGATATCTATCCTGTGGGTTGGTGTGAACTGATAGGTTACCAGCTGCAGCCACCAGTGACTCCAGGTGAGAAAAATAAACAGTTGCACTACTGGATGAGAAAGAAAAGTTTCAGCCCAACCCAAACCATGTTCTTACTCTATGTAAAAGCTTTGAACCATAGTGAGGGCTAAAGAGGTAGTTTAAGAGGAGCTGGTGCTGGCAGTCATTTTAATAGGACCTCCCTTTGGAGTGGGATGGATCCCTAGCATATGCCATTTTAATCCATAAACTCTGCTGCACCGTCCCTATTCTCCCATGTACTGCCAGTGCTTTGAATTCTCTTCTTCAGTGTCAGTTTCCAAACACAATAAAAATGGCAGTGTGCTCTCTCCCCAGTGGGGAGAGTAGAGTAGGGCACATAGAGTAGGGCCAGGAGGCTGTCCAGACATTCTGCTGAAGGGAAGGTGCCTGTTTCACCTTCAGTCATCTTGTGTCAGCTCAACTAGGTAAACCAGACCAAGAAATCAACTCCAAGGAGACTAAAACGACTTTTACTGTGATTGTCAATATTAATAGAACCTTGGGAAGTCTGGGCTCTACCTCTATCACCTTCTTATGTTCCATCGAATAAGGGACATGTCTGCTTGAGCTGCTTCTGGATATTATCTGTTGTGGATTTAAAATATGCTTCACACACAAATACACACACATATTGCTTTGGTGAACCTTGCATATTTCCATCAGGGTTAATTTTCTTACTCTATCTTATTTCCTCCAAATGCAAGGAGAAAGCAGAGAGGATGTGCCTAAAATATGTGAACATATTTTTTTTTTAAAAAATTATTTACTTTGGTATGCCATTCGTTACCACTGTGCATCCAAATAGGATGGTGTCATGTCCTACAGGTAGAGTGGTAGACCCTCATGGTTCTTGGGCTTCCAGGTAACAGTTCAATATGGGGCTCTCCTGTAAAATCGGCAGGGATTAATCCTGCTGAATCTTACATTTTTCTTTGATTCCTTACAAGCTGTTTACCTGGACATCAATTTTCATGAATTACTAAATTTCCCATCTAAAATAAGCTAAATGCAAGTACGTACCTGTTAAAGAAATTGGCATTCTCCACATTCGAGAAAGTGGGAGAATTTTGTGCATAGTTTTTAAATTTAAGCAATGTTTGTAGAAAAATACAATGGATTAGGATTGGACTACAAAAGGGGTTGAGAGTGATGTGTGCTTCTGCACCCTGATGCTCAAATGGTAATTTAATGAAACTGCTGACTTTTATGTCATTTTCCTTGGACTGTTCACTATTTTCTATAAATACTTCTCCATGCTTATTGCATCCACAGAATATTGCCCAATGGTCCTGTTTAGAGTCACCTGGATTCTCCTTGGGAAGGGAAGTACTGAGGCCCATCTATAGGGCCATATGGAGGGATTTTCCCGGAGGATAAAAACAGTCAGATTTGTTCCCAATTGGATACCAAGCATAGTGCAAGTCCTGTAGAGATGCCAGGAGAGTAGAATTACCCAGTTATCTGGAAATGGCTTGATTTTGTTGGATTTGAGAAAGTAGATAGGCTCCCTACGAAATGTAAACGCCACCACCTGTGCATTGGATCCATACCCCTCTTAGCTGATTAAGGCTGCCCAGTGGGTGTCATGTGGATGGGTCCAAGCAATGGTGAATTCATCCTTGTTCGGGGAGAGTGTTTCAAGTTTCTTTTAAAGAGCCACTGGTATGCCCCTACTCAAGAAGCCATCATTGGACCCTACCATTCTGGACAACTTTAATCAATCTCCCACCTCCCCTTTTTAGGGAAGTTGGTTGAGAAAGTGGTGGCATTGCAACTCCAGAGGATCATGGAAGAAATAGATTACTGGACCCTTTTCAGTCAGGTTTCATTGTGGATATGGAGCAAAAACAGCGTTGGGTTCCACTCATGAATGATCTCTGGCAGGAGCAAGATGGAGGTGGTGCATTTATCCACCCTCTTCTTGACCTCTTGGCAGCTTCTGATACCATTGACCATGGTATCCTTTTGGGCTAACATAGAGAATTGGGGGTGGGTGGCACAGTTTTGTTCCAATTCATCTCCTTCCTCCGAGGCCAGTCCCAATTGGTATTGACATGGAGAGGGAGAGCTCCTGCCCTGTGAGGTGCTACAAATCTCAGTGCCGTCTTTGCTCTTTTTTAACATCTACATGAAACCACTTGGTGAGATCCTCCATTGCCACAGGATGAGATATCACTAGTATGCTGATCATACCCAGTTATATATCTTCATCCTGGATGAAGTGAGTGAAACTGTGCCTGGAAGCTGTGGGGGCTTAGATGGGGAACAGTAGACTTCAGCTGAACCCTAGTATTGCAGAGTAGCTGTGGGTGGGCCCCTCTGTATCCAGGAATTTATCATCTTTGATCTTGAATTGGGTTGTATTATCCCAGACAGACCAGTTGAGTAATTTGGGGGCTCTTCTTGACTCATGGCTTTTGCTCAAAGAGCAGGTTGCAGCTGTGGTGAGGAGGGTCTTTGCTCAATTTCATGTTATGCATCAGTTACGCCCTTTCCTGGATAGGGAGACTCTCTGTTTAGTCACTTATGACCTTGTCATCTCCTGTCTGGACTATTGCAATGCACTTTACAGGGGGCTATCCTTGAAAAATATCCAGAACTTCAACTGGTGCAGAATACAGCCACATGAGCAATTCTAGGTATCCAAAGAAGGGTAACACCTTTGCTCCGCAAACTGTATTGGGTGCCAGTCTGCTTCCGGGTCCAATTCAAAGTAGTGGTTGTGACATACAAAGGCCTACATGATATGGAGCCAGGCTACCTATGGAATTGTCTTCATTCCTTTACATTTGCCCATTCCATTCAGTCAGAGAGGAAAAGTATGTTGCAGATCCCATCAGTTAAAGAATTCCAACTGGTGGGCTCTCGGAGGAGATCCTTTTCTGCCATTGCTATCACCCTGATGAATATGCTACCTCCAGAGGTGAGGCAGATATCCACTCTCCTGGCCTTCCACAAAGGAGTTAAAACATGGCTCTGCAGCTTCACATGGGAAGACCAGATGAATATGCAGCCATGGGGCTGGTTACACCTTGAGACCCCTCCTTTCGCCTTTTTAACTAATTTTTAACAGGGTTTGATCATCCTTGCCTCCTTCCAAATTCTTTTTTTTTTACTTTTATATGTTGTATGTTGCATCCTGTACAACATATCATTCTAGACTTCTTCTTCTCTTGATAATAGAACCTGAATCGCCTGCATTTGCCAAGGAGGTTTCAAAGAGGAAGCGAAAACCATATGGAAAGAAAAGTAAGAAGCACTTTCACTATCTCTGTTTCATTCTAATAACAAGGCAGAATTTGTTTATTTGTTCTGCTGAATAGAGCAGAGTCTGAAAGGAAAAACAAGAATCTACGCCAAGATAAATACGGTGGAATGTTTGCCTGGGTCAATTTCTCTCTGTGTGATACTCATTGCAACATCAGGGAGTACTTAGCTGGATCTGGAATACAATGCTTTGTAATTATAGTAAACCCTTGGTTTAATAAACTAAAGAGGAAAAGGGATATGCATTAAAGTCCAGTGTCCATTAAAAGACAAGAGGGATTTTCAAGCCCAGAAATACTCATATATGAGAAGAAAAGGAACTGCTGTAGAGTAATAGGCAGTGCAAGCTACAGAAGCACTATGCTGAAATTGATGGCAAATTCAGCAACTGCAAGCAAGTCAAGTCAAAGCACTTAAAAAGAGCCAAAGCTAAAAGGCCACATGGGGAATAAGGATCACAGTCTGGGAGATACCAGTACCAAAAAGATCCCCAAGTTATATGGATTCACCCAGTCCAGGACTCAGAGGAACTGGTGGTAGAGGTGAGCAATGGACTGGGCACAAAGCAGTTGTGATGCCCACTGCTGATTCTGAACTAAATGTCAGACTTGGTGCAAAGCATTTTCTTATGTTGTTCATCAGGATTCTTTTTGTAATTAGATTGAGAAATGTTTAAGCCACAAATTGCCTGTTTTCCTTTTTTGGGAGAATCTGCAATCTCCCTGACATAATAATTTATCCCTTCCACTACAGTTGTGTTAGCAGCTTTGCTATTTGACAGATAATATCAAATTATATATTAATTGAGACCTGCAAAAACTTTGATGCTAAATTGATACTAATTACGTGTCGCTTGGTTAGATGGGAAATATGCATTCAAGATTGCGAAAGCATCTTTGGTCTGTAGCAGCCTGCTAATTGCTTAATAACCACATATCAATGAGCATAAAATTATCAAACTTTTCTCTGCCAGTCTGATAACATTTACAGAACATCACAGGATACTTTAATATGACTCTTTCATGCTTTAATTTTCTGATGGTCTTTGCTTGCACCTTGTAGCATGTGTATCCTATGGTATGTCATGGGTAACTAATTAACTTGTCTCTATCCCTCCCCATCAGCATACAAAATCTATCTGGGAATGATATCTAGAAAAAAGAACCTTATTTCTTATAGCTGTAGATGCCACAGATTGGGTCAGGGCCCTTATAAGTATAAACGATGACTACTATTTTACTATTATAATGGACCAGTAGTTTTACATATTTAAAGCTTCAACGTGCTCCCACTGAAGAAGTATTTTTTAACTAGGCCACCCAGTGTCACCTTGTAGGGGAGATGGACAGCATAGAAATGTAATGAACGAACAAACAAGTTGGAGGGACTTTCTATCCAAATGTTCATAGATGTCTTCAAGGCAGTTGATAATATTTATGCTTCTGTTGAGTAACCTAGGTAGATGCATTAAATATATGTGTCAGTTTCTAGTAATTATTATTTTAAAATGACCTTTAATAAGATTTGTATCAATGTGATTAGTTTGGACATATGTTAGCTTAGTACACCTGCTTCATTTGTCTCATAGCTGAGTTTAGTTTATTAATCCTTTTTGAGGTAATCAACCAGGATCTTACCTGTATCATTTCAGCTGCATTTGTAGATTACTTAGCCATGAAAAACAACCATGTTTTATGTCCAGATGTTTTAAAGAAAAAACATTGATCCAAGTACCCCTGCTTGTTGACAATTGTGCAGCCCTGATACAAGTTAGCTGCGATGAGGTCTTTGGCAGAATTGTGAGTGGATATATGACTGTTTTTATTCAATTTGCTAAGGAAAAAAGATGACTGCTAAATCGCGTTCCATCAAGGAGGCAGCTAAGAAAGTGATCACTCCAAAAACAAAGGAAGAAACAAAAGCTATCAAAAAGCTGCCTACTTCAAAATCAAAGGAGGGAAAACCAACTGTTTCAAAAACTGAGGCAATGCAGGCTAAATCCAAGACTTCTTCAAAACTACTGCCTGAAAGTAAGAAAAAGGATATAGTGCTTAAGTTCTCCAATTTGTAAACATGAACAGGAAGAGCATAGTCTTAAGACAATTACTAACATACACATTTTAACTTGCTGAACTGCAGGGAGTTTGGGAAGGTTTTCATGGACAGGTTTGCAATGTAACTTGTAAGAGCTAGTATAGATAGTTCTCAACTTATGATCGGTCACTTAGTGACTGTTCAAAATTACTACAGACCCTGAAAATAGGACTTACAGCCTGGATTCAAAGTTATGATATTCATCCCGCCCCAGTGATCATTTGACTGCATTTTGGGTGCTCAGCAACCAACCCACATTTATAGTCATTTGCAGTTCCCTGCAGTCACATGACCGTGATTTACAACATTTTTGTCAGAAACTGGTGTTTACTTCCAGTTGCCCGCAAAAAAATGCCCCATAGTAAAGAATGTTAGTTTAATGACTATGGCATTCACTTAATGAGCACTACAAAAGAGGTCATAAAATCAGGTGCAATCAATGGTGATTTGTTTTATGACTGTCAATAATAACTTTAAAATGTCTTCACCTTGAAGATTTACCTTGATTTTCCTGATATGTAGACAATTTTGAAACCTGCACTGTTGCAAAAATACAATTGTGAAAAATAATTTTCAATGTAGAAATTGAAAATAATCATTTTTACTTTAAAAGCAGTAGCTTGCTAAAACTTGATGAAGAAAATATTGAAATCCTGTGGGGAGTTATCTCATGGCATGATCTGTAATTTTGTTTCTCTGGATAAATTGTTAAAAAAAACAATAACATGTGACTCTAGAAATATTTTTGTTTGATTTTTACTTTTCCCTATCCATTGTTTCCTTATCCAGCGACTATTCTTTTTAGGAATATAGGTTATCACTAGCATTTTGCTGACCTTTTAGATTTTCATTCTGTAGTTGAACATAGCCTTTTCCTGTGTTTCCTAGCCTTTGTTGCTGTGCAAGTGAAAGAAGAAATGCTTGAAGACCCAAAGGTGAGGCTTGAAACTCCACACCATTCAGCACCAGTGAAGGATGAGGACACGGATCAAGAAGCTCCAGCACACTCTACGATAATCGGTTGCCTAAAGGATGAAGGCATGGAACCAGAGTCCCCAGAAAGCCCTATAGCAGATGACCAGGATGGCAGCATGGATGTAGAAACTGCAACAAGCCTTGATACACTTCGCTACTTAAAGGATGGAGTTAAGGAACCAGCAATTGCAAACTCTATTGCAATTGCCTGCTTAAAAGATGGGGTCATAAAAACTGAAGGTACAGTGAGCCCAGTGCTCATTAGCTGCTTAAAAGATGAGGATGTGGACTAGAGGTTCAAGCAGCATCAATATCAATGGTTCTGCACAGTCCTTCAGGAATCAAGGAAGGTGAAGTGCTGGCCTCTTTGGTCTGTACTCTAGCTTTTCATGTGATACAGTCAGCCTATGAAACAATTATAATAATATATGTTCTATCCCATCATGCAAAAAGGCAGGTTTACAGTGATGCTCTGAATACTACTGTGGGTGAATTTCTGCATTATAAAACTCTGTGGAAAGGCCGTGACATGTTACATAGAGCATTTGTAATTTGCCTGACCATAGTAGTCATCGCTATTTCAGTCAACAGTGGGTTGCCTCACAAAGCAAGTTATTGGGCTGGTACCCAAGAATTTTTTTCTGCTAAAATAAATGAGAGATCAGGAAAATGGGTAAGAAAGCTGAGGATCTCAGTGCCTTATTATGAAAGGGTATTTTTAGAACAATGCATATTTACAGTAGTGGCCAAAATTGTGGAAACCTTTTGGGAAAAGTATACAGTAGAAATGCCACCTTTGGTGGCCAAAATTGTGGAAACCTTTTGGGAAAAGTATACAGTAGAAATGCCACCTTTGGTTAAGTTTCCACCAATTTTTATTCTAATTTCTTTATAACTGTAGCCTTGTTCACTTAATAATACTATTTTACATCGCTTTCTGGGCAACCAGTCAACTCTTTGCACCATTACTTTTAATTTTATTACATTTTACAAGCTCACTAAATGAAAGAACACAAAAAACCCCAACCAACTTGATAGCGATCACATAACACACTGACAAATGTCCTCCTCTCAGCTTCAATACATGACATCAATAACTGAATCCTACTGTGATCTGATTGGCTCATGGCCAAAACAAGATGACACCTGATTGGCTCTCTAAACACTCATGCTCATTGGCTACAATCAGATGAAGGAAAGCTACCTGATATCAACCTAAGCAAGTTGTGCTTCCTTTTTCTGGTTATTTGGCTATAACTTTTCATAGAATATAGTACAGATAATTGAACAAACTTTGTTACATTAAATTTTTGATTAAATTATCTTTCCATTGATATATAATTTTATGGTACTATTAAAAAAAAAGTGGTGTTATTAGCCATCAAACCTCAAAAATACACTTTTCCCAAAAGGTTTCCACAATTTTGGCCACTACTGTAATATGAAAAGGGCCACATAGTTCACAATGTCTATCTCTGGGGAAAAGATCCACTGATCCCATTCAGTGGCAGGCTTATGTGGTGAAAAAGTCCCAAGAAGTATCAGCTAGATAGGATTCAATAATTGATTTATTATTTCAACAGTTGAAAAATCAGGACACAGCATTGGTCTCTTATGAGCAGATTAGCCATCGGCAAGAATCTCAAATTTACCCAGATCTTACACAGAAGACAGTTTAAGCGTGCACATCTACAGTATAAGAACCCCAAACTATAGGAGTGAATTACTTTACATCTGATAAGGATGCTAATAGGAGGGTATCATTCAAAAGGTGAAGATATTACCAGTAACATTGGTTGAAATGTGATATCCTAGCTTTGATATACAAATGCCAAGAAATGAATTGTTATTCTAACAAGCTGACTTATGTTTAATTGTGGAAGGAGGAAAAATAAGAAGTCAATCGTTTTGCATCCTTAAGCCTGAAATGTCTGAAAGTATTTGGGAAAATGTACAAAGCATTTGTATAACTACAAAGACTTTTAAAATCCTACAATTGAATGAGTTTTATTCATAAGTTGAGGCAGTATTTTCTATTTCCTGAATGGAGGAGAATTTCCCATGTCAAAATGGAGAGATCTTAGCTACTGTCAACCCATCTAAGAGGCCTCATATTATTTGGAAGAGTTTTCATGTGGCCATAATTTTGGTTTCCCCACTTTGTGTTTTAGTCCTTTGATAATGTTGATTGCCTTTTCCTCTACTATTTCAACTTTGCAATATGATTTTTGTAGTGTTGTGACCAGAACTAGAGGTAATATTCCAAATTTGGTTGCAGCATAGATTTATCCAAAGCATCATTCTTTTACACCAAAGACTTAGTTTCTATGCTTGCTAGGAATTTTGGTAGTTGTAGTCCCAACATATCTAATAGGCAAATCTAGACAGCATACTAAAAAGCAGAAACATCACCCTGCCAACAAAAGTGCGTATAGTCAAGGCCATGGTTTTCCCAGTTGCAATGTATGGCTGTGAAAGTTGGACCATAAGAAAGGCTGAGCGCCAAAGAATTGAGACCTTTGAACTATGGTGCTGGAGAAGACTCCTGCGAGTCCCTTGAACTGCAAGGTGTTCAAACCAGTCAGTCTTAGAAGAGATCAACCCCAACTGCTCTTTAGAAGGCCAGATCCTGAAGTTGAAACTCAAATACTTTGGCCACCTAATGAGAAGGAAGGACTCACTGGAGAAGAGCCTAATGCTGGGAAAGATTGAGGGCAATAGAAGAAGGGGATGACAGAGAATGAGATGGCTGGATGGAGTCACTGAAGCAGTAGGTGTGAGCTTAAATGGACTCTAGAAGATGGTAGAGACCTGGAGGAACATTGTCCATGGGGTCGCGATGGGTCGGACATGACTTTGCAACTAACAACAGCAACAACAAAGAGAACAATATTCTAAGAACTGCCTTTGAACTTGTGCAAATAGTTTATTTAGGCACAATTCAGAAACAATATAAATACAGCACAAACTTCACAATTTTATCTGTAAATCGGTTTTTTTTTTAAAAGCAAACATGTAAACTATGTTTAAATATTACTTCCCAAATGGACTGGTCAATTTGCACTGCCCTATAATTATTAGCTGAATATATAACTACAAGCTGAACATAGATTACAACTATACTATGCATACTTTTGAATGTACTTTCTGTTCTTCACATTGCTGAACTGATCATTGTAACTAGACAAATAATGTGTAGATCAACAAATGATAAAAGCATATATCAAGGTCTTCCTTCTCAAAGTTCTTATCATTATGAGAAACTGACAGTATGTTTTCATCAAGAGACTTCTCATTCATGCTTTACTTTTTTTGCTTTCCTTAATTCCTGAAGTCTCCACCTGCATCCCTCATTTGGAATGATTTCCATCCCTGATTTTGGATACGACTTCCATCCCTGATCAAGCTGGCTTGTTTGGCCTTCTGGATATTCCAGCCTGGGCAACTTTGGAACATAGTGACAAACTTCACTTTTTTGGCTATATAGATTTGGTGGAGAGCCACAAGTGGCCCCTACTCTCAGATTCAGATTATCAAGCCACCTGGAAAATAAAGAAAAAGAAAAAAAATAATGTCACCAGGCCTGCATCTATTTAAATTTAAAATTTGTGGGGGTTTTTTTTTGGGGGGGGGGGGGGTTGGGTGTTTTTTTGTATGGTTTCACATTTGAGATATTAAGAAATTGTTAATTTGTGAAAATGGGAGCAGGAAAAAATGCTGCTTGTTTATGATGTTTCCAAGAATTTTCTCAGTACAGAATTACTGTTTTCTAGGAAAAATGTGAAACAGTTGTTCAGCTTTACAACAGAAGGTTCATCCATCAATTGTATGATCTTGTATAATCACTATTTGGCAGTCAAAGTTTAGCCTAAGCTAACATTTTAGCATTTAAGATTTATAATTCCTTCACTGAGAAAAGTAAATCAGAAGTCAGTTGCTAAAAAGAAGTGATTGATGAATATCTGTAGTTCAATTTACTATTCCATTTCCTCTCCCACCATCTACGTTTTGCAAAAAGAAAGATGAGTCAGTTAAATTTAAATCCTGAGACTTCTCTTTGGCTTTGCTAGCCCAAATCATGTTTTCATTGTTCATGGCTATGAGATAAAATCCAGGTAGACGATCCCAGGTCTTCTATTACAGTAAGGATGCTGAACTACACCATCCAGTTATTATATTTATTCCAGCCATTCTACCTACACAAACATTCAAAACTATTTGCAACATAAATTTAAAATATACATTTTAAAACAAATATTCATATCACTAAAATTCACAATAAAATTATTTATTAGATTGATGAAATATATATACTTTTAGTATTTTGGGAGGCAATATATGTTTCCATGAGGGAACATTCCGTGGCCTGTATTTCTCCCAAATCCAAATTCAACTGAATCAAAAATAAATCATGAACAATAATATCAAAAGTCACTAGAGAACCTGAATAACTAACATAGTTGCACTAATCTCATTCAGTATCTAAGGTACATCATCAAAAGATGAACAAAACTCTTTTAATGCCATAGCTTGACCCAAATCCTAACTGAAATGGATGTTGTCATCCAAATGTACTTAGAAATAGGAGGCCATCCCCATCTCAATTATCTTACCAGAAAATGAGTATTTGTGACTAAATGATAATTACTCACACTTGGCCAATAAAGAATTTTAATACTAATTATAAAGAGTTTCCAAGTTCTTATAATTGTTCCCTTTGAATACATACACAATCTATCATCAAAGATCTTCTCTGTTTATCATGGAGCCATTCTTTTCTGTGCCATATATTGGCCAAACTAGAGGTCATTTTTCTCTGATTACCCTGTCCAGTTTCTCAAATTCCATGTAAACAAGAAAAATTGATACTGTCAACATTGTTTTCTTATAACCTGCCCCAATACTGAATTGCTCTTGGCTTCCTGATAAATCAAGATGCTAAGAAGAAAAAGAATATTTAGGATTATCCTCCAGGTGATCTGGGACTAGGCCTGCAAATCACTAATCAACATGGCTGAATGAAATTTGCAAAATTGCAGGCCAACACATCGGAGGGACTACGTTAGGGAAGATCTCAAATCATGTGCAGCTTCAATTGCACAATCCAATTCTTCCAAACTTTTTCAGTTAGCCCCTCCCCACCTCTACTTTCAAAAAGTGATTGATTTTAGAAAAATAATCTATTTAACAGAGATCTGATCACCAGGCACTTGTGTGGTTTTGTGTCAATACAGTCTTGAATAATACATATTAATTACCATTTAGTTGATTCTGTATGAAAGTGTTAATAGGTGTCATTAATATCTTTTCCTCATTCCAGCCTATAAGGGACAAAACTTCTATTTTAGAAGATGAATAATGGGAATTAATGACTTACTTGCGTAATGAGAGAAGACGACAATCACAGGAAAAAGGGATATCATTCAAGTTGATTACCTCCAGAGCACTGAAGCCATGTAAATTAGGTAAATTGTACATTCTATTTTTCTCCAGATACAGACTTTTAATATTTGGACCCAAGCCAGTAAAGGCACCAGAAGAAATCTGCCAACACAAGTTGGTAATGACAAGTTCAAGATCTACAGAAGTAATTTATAATTATCCCAATCTTCTATTTCCACTGATCCTTTGTATGTGTCCAATAACTGTAAGAAAATTAGTGTATTCATAATCTCTAAAACAGTTAACAGTTTCTTGTTTAATTAAACTTAAAGGTGAAAGAGAAAACATTTATCAGAATTGACTATAATTAGCCTATATCAAAAGTATAACTCAAAGTCTGCATGCAGTCTCCAGATTCTTGAATGCAGCCACCTCAGCTTATTCAAAGGTTGATATTCAGTTGTCACTTGTAATATGTTTTCAGAAGGAAATTATTAAATACCCAGAGTGATGATCATCATCTAATTTTAGATTATAGCCTGCCCCTAGGACTTTTACCTCTCTCAAAGTGCAGCTAACAATCCAAGAAAACTGCAGGCTAATATTTGTGAGAATTGTGGAAGTCAGTATTTCACATTTTGATAAAAATGTTTTTGAAATGAAAGAATGAATACTGTATTTCTCCTTTTCTCATTATGATTAAGGTGGCTGTACTTCTAATTTAATTTTAATTTCCTCTCAAGTCCTGCTGTAGTGCCTTATTGTGTCTGTTCCTGGGAGGGAGAAGTGAAGAATGTTGGGAATGTAGGCCAAGCGGATATATTCCCAGCAGGATTCATCAAGGCATGAAGATCATCCTGGCTGCCGGTCTAAAGTGAGCAGGCACCCAGAGCGGACAGCCCATATAGAAAAATGCTAGATATGGATAACCCCTCCTCTGGCCTCCATGGGCACTCCTGCTGGACCGGCAAGGTGCTGGTCTGTGGGCATCGTTCTCATTGTCTGCGGACGTGCTCCTGCTGCAGGACCTCCTCCCCATGAGCTGCCGAGGCTCTGGACTGCAGGCACCAGCTCAAATGTCCCTGGACGCGCAGCCTGCCACCGGCGAGCTCGCAAGCCCTAGTAATGGGCCCGGCCGCGAAAGTGGGCGACCGGGTGACTGCCGTGGCACTGGATCCCCATGCCCATCAGCTGGTGCCTCCACTGATGAGCCCGCAGTCCACGGCAGTGGCTCCAGCCACAGAAACAGGCGACCAGGGGGCTGCCGTGGCGCCGAACTCCAGCGGTGTCAGTTGGGAGGTCGAGTGGCGGTTCTGGCCAAGGCGAAGAACGGCGAGGCAGCGGTTCGGCAGGCAGGTCCCCACCTGCCCGTGAATGTCGGCCCCACGGGGTTTCCGGCGGCAGTTCCAGCCGTGGCGAAGGACGGCAGGGAGGCAGCGGTTCAGCAGACGCGGGGCTCGACACCACTTATTTATCGCAAAGTGCCAGGGCTGCATCAGCATTGCGGAGCCCTCGGGGAGGCGTGGTCCATTGGGTGGGCGTGGCTGCAGTGGTCATAGCAGACTGGGTGAGCGTGGCTGGGGCCAGGGCGGTGGGGGCCAGTCCCTCGCCATCTCCGGGGCATCCCCGGAGGGCCAACGCCGCTTGCTTGCTCGCTTCCTGCCCTGTTGCTTCCAAATGCCACGTGCTCGCTACTCTGGCAAACTCTGCTGGGGCAATGGCGCGCGTGCCCACAGAGAGGGCTCTGAGTGCCGCCTCTGGCACAAGTGCCATAGGTTCGCCACCACTGATTTATAGTATGTGGGAGAAAGCAGTGGTAAAACACTCCTGTTTTACCCAAGAAAACCACACAGATAAACAATAGAAAGTAATTGATGATGTAATTTTAGATATGGGCTCCTCAGTTTGGATGATATTCTACATGTTAATGAGGAAGAGTTAATGGTGTTTATTATGTGTCTAGAGATCTAGTTGTTGATGTGACATGCAAGAAAAAAAATAAAGATAGAAAGACAGAATTACATTGGACCTGGGAAAGTTCTACAGAGTGAAGATGAATCAACTAGATGAGAGTCAGTTTGGTCTAGTAGTTACGGCATTCAAAATGTTAAAAACCTGAAGAATCCTGAAGACTGAGTTATATTCCCACCTTAGTTATGAAAGCTGGCTGGGTGACTTTAGGCCAGTCACTCTCTCTCATCCCAACTCACTTCACAGGATTGTTATGAGAAAAATAGGAGGAGAACGAGTATTAGATATATTCATCACCTTGAGTTATTTATAAAGTAATACAGTAAGGATATGAAATAGACAAATTAGCATCAGTGAGTTAATATGAACTAAAATTGGGCACAGTGGTAAAAAGTATGTTCATTTGACTGCTACTACTCAGTTCATGAAAATAAAGAAGCAGCGGTGCTGATTTCATAGTCGGGGGGGAAAAAGCAAGGACAATATTTGGGTACAATGCACCTGTCATGCCTCCGTCCGAGCCTGACTCTGAGGAAGACATGGAGTTCCCTGCTGAGGCCCAGGAGGGGTGTCTGTGGCTTCGGAGGACTGTGGGGAGGAGCAGGTTGAGGCAGGCCAGGGCCCTTCAGGTTTGGAACAGGGAAGGCAGAGTTCAGGCAAGTAGCAAAGCCCCTCCCCACCTGATCCTAGAGCAAGGAGAGCAGAGAGGAGGAGGGAACAACGGAGGCAGGCTCACTTGCTCGGGAGGAGACTGTCCCGCCCCACTCCACAAGGCGCACCTGGGGAGTAGGATTTAAGGAGATGCTGTGGGGTGGGGCATTTGCCGGGAACAAACGTGAAATCTTGAGGTAGTGTGCTCTTGTAACTTGGACACTTTGTATTCTGGACCAGTTTGCTTCCTGCTGATCTCTCCTTGCAGTCTGCAGTGTGCAGTTCGCAGTTCACAGGCAAGCTGGGAGTTAAAAAGGATTATACGTTTGTTTGTTATCTGTCTTGCTTTAAGAACAGTGTAAACTTCCCTGGCTGTTTTGATTGAACTCGTGCCAGCATATGTGGGGGCTGCTGGGTGAACATTGGCAGTGATTAAAAAGACTATTGCTCTGGCCAACTGATTGCTTTGCCTCCGTTCGGGGGGCCCTGGGTCATCACAGCACCTAATGACTGAGTAATATCAATTAGACTTATGGACAACAAATAATTATGGCAATTATAAATGTTATGTTTTAACTATTGATACAGAAGAGAAGGTTGACAAATTTTATGGTCAGTTCAATGGAGTATACAACCAAGATGCACTGCTAATGGTTGCGGACTGAAATATCAAAGTTGGAAATAATAAGGAAAATATGATTGGACTGCAGGTTATAAGAAACACAAATGAAGCAGGATATCAATATCTGCTAATCCACTGATTTCTACATTGCTAACAAAGGTTTGCAACAATAAAAATGATGCCTACATATATGGACATTACAAGATGGTATACACAAAAATCAAATTACTATATTAGAGGTACAAATAAGTGGAAAAGCTAAGTTATAACAAACAAGATACAAAGTAACAAGTTGCAATTCCCACCCCAGAAAGGCTGTCATAAATCACATTCACCAATTAATCCAAAACAGGCTCTCCTCCCAACTTCTCAGCCTGCCAAAACTTTATCTAACACTGACCTTGAGTTCACACACAGCTGCAATTGTTATGGCTAACAGAAAATGCTCAAGCATTCCCCCCTTCCCCCCTTCTACATCTAAAATCCCAAAAAGCAGAAAGAAGCACAATGAAAGCAAAAGGTAAAATGGCAGTTTTCTCGATTGTCGCAGCGCTGACACATATATCCACTATTTTAAAGGATGATACAGGTAGTCATTAACTTACAACCACAATGGAGCTTAGAATTTTGGTCATAAGTTTGATCGTAAGTCAATGCACCCCATGATCAGACTCAATTTTACAATCATTTTTATGATGGTGATAAAGTGAGTCACTGTAGTCATTAAGTGAATTCAGCATATCCAATCTGGGTTTTTTCTTTGCTGGAAAACAGCAAAAAACATTGCAAATCTCAGTTGCATGACTGGGTACATTGCAACCAGTCATAAATGCAAGCCGGTTGTCAACTGCCTGAAATGCAATCCCATGACTGCAGGGGGAACAGCAGGCATAACTTTGAGGATGAATGCAAATAGGTTTTTTGAAGTCTGTTGTAACTTTAACCAGTTGTTAAGTGACCGGTCATAAGTCAAGGACTATCTGTATTGGGAATTGCTTTGAAGTCCTGAGCCTCATTGACAGAGAACCAAAGGGGATATTGAATGAAATTAAAATTGTTAAGTTGGCCAAGATGAAGAAACAGAAGAAAACAAACTATGTCAGTACAAATTGACAAGAAGAGAAGAAAAAGCCAAAGCCAAGGAGAAAAAAAAATCTCAGAAAGGAATTTAAGACTGTTGGAGGTCAGCACCCACTTACCCTCCTAGAGAAGGAAATATTTGGGGGATATTAAAAAAGGCAGAACATTGTATTTCCCCAAAGGAATAATGGAGAAAAATCTTAGGCAGAAACCAGCCTGCAGTCTCCTTCCCCCAAGCAGGCCAGCTTTTAGAAATGCAGATTTGGGGCACACCATTCATAAGCAAAACGCCTTCAGCAGGGGATTAGAAAAACAAAGTCTCCAAGGACAGAAACATGACTTTTAGGATATAATAGGATTAACCCACCACCATTAGAATACCAAAAGGGCACACTCAAGCTCAGTTCAAAGTACATTGCACAGGAACAGGAACAACTTCAAATACAAAGCCCAAAGAATGTATAAAAGCCCACCTATCCCAACTTCACTTGATCAGCTGTCCCACAACTGCATGTTGTTGTTATTCTGCTCTTCAATAAACAAACCTTCTTTCTAAACAGCCTCCATTTTTATTTCCAGCATCTTAGCCTCCATTTTGTTTACTCCTGGCTTGGACTGGATCTGATGATTTTTTTTCAACAAGAATTTCAAAGAAGTGTTGAAAGAGTCAAGAAGTAGTATTGCTACAATATGTATAAAGACATTGAAAATGGAAACATTTTCCCCCAAAAAAATCTCTAATGTCCTTATCCAGGATACCCTGGAAAATATTTCCTACTACAGGAATCTTTAGTACTAGAAAATAAAGTTAGATCACACTCTGGTCATTATTAAGTCAGAAGGCTACAGGAATGACGGAATATCAACTAAAATTTGGGAAGCAACAGAAAATCAATAAAGATACTAATTTCATTGTGCCAGCAATTCTGAAGAATGATGCAGTGGCCAACATGTTGGAAAAAAATCATTTTACGATACCAAGGAGAGCTACCAGAGCATGCCTATCATCCCACACTATCCTTAATTCTACAAATTGTGGCGAATTGTGTTTAGGATCATCCAATGGAGATTAGAGTCCTACATGAAAAGGTTTTGGGAAAGATTGAGAAACAAGATACATT